AAAAAAAAAAAAAAAAAAAAAAAAAAAAAAAGAAGAAGCAGAAGAAGAAGAAGAAAGAAAACTAATCAATTAGATGGATAACAGGGCAACCCTGTACCAAAATTCATACCCAATGATGTTACTTTCTGTTTTCATTCATGCCCCCACTAATATGCACATGAAAAGCTTTACTGAAATTGATTCATCAAAAAAAGTACAAAAATAAAGAATTTAAGACCCTAAACAAGGTCGTAAGCACAACCCATTGAATCAGCAAACTCTGAGAAAAATGACGTACTCTTAGCAAAGACAGCAAATAATTCTTCGAAGAACCCATTGTATTAGCGGTAAGTTCGGCTGCAGAGACCCCGACTGGAGCTGAAGAACCGGGGATTGAATTGCTGGATCCACGACCCACACCACTAAAGCCATAGCTACTATAACTAGTAACTAACAAAGCCCTGGAAGCTTTGAACGGAGAAAGACTCGAGCTTTGCGCATGCAGCAATCCCAATTTCCCACAAAATGACTGCATTTTCTGTTAACCCAATCTGGGATTACCAAAAACACAAAGAGTTAGCAGCTCCTTGGTTGCCAACAACATGAGAGAACTCTATCAATAAACAAAAGGGAACTCGCGCATAAGATATCTACCTACAGTTAAAAGGTGCGCTACTGCAAATCAACAAACCCTAGAGCGCAAAACCCCACTTACCGTAGAAGGACAGCGCGACGATCCGGGAGAAAAGAGAGAAAAGAGAAGAGAAGGCAACGTACAGCTATGGCGCGACGATGGGAAAGGCTTGCAGGCAGAGAGTGAAAAGAAAAGAGAGGTTATTCGTTTGCTTACAGTTCCTGGCGAAGAGCGAAGGAAATGAGAGGTTTAGGGTTTTCACCTTAATAAGTTAGACAGAAACGGTGTCGTACCTTTCACTTTTCTCAGTGTGGACTTCTAAAATTTTAAAATTTGACCCATCGGTTTAGAATTTTTTTTTTGGGGGTAAAGTATCGGTTTAGAAGTTGCGTATGCTGATACTGAAATCGAATTCACTCCGATTGAATCATAGTTCGGTCTGGTTAATCTGAGTAACCAAACAGAGAAATATTATTAATTTTTTAATATCAAAATTAGAGAGAATCTTTAAATCTCTATCTTTGGATAATTAAAATATTAAGACCACCTAATTCTCTTAAATATATCCAATTTACAGCACCTTAAAAAAACCACACTGATTTGCCAAGGATAAAATAAAGGTTTTTTTAATTTATATTTTAAAGGTAGAGATTAACAATTTTAAAAAATAAAAAAGTAATATTAAATTTATCAATTATGTAATTAAATTTATCCACGTGATATTAATTTTAAAATTAATATTTACTTTTATATATGATTGATCCTATAAATGACTATTTCTAAATACCTAATTGTCAATACACATGTACATGTTAGATAAAGTTGAATGGTTAACTTTGAAGATGAAGAGCAGGCCTGGGAATTTTGTGGCAGAGGAAGGGCAAAACTAATTTCCTTTTGTGAACCAGTCTCTTCTATATTTTAGGTAACACCTCCTTAGGTAACTCTTGGACCGGTGGGAGTCTTTAAATAAGAATTTTGGAAAATAATACACAGAAGTATAGGGGTGGCAACAAGGCCCCACAGGGTCAGGGAATCCCTCTTTGTCCCCATCATGTGAATGGTGGGGATGGGGATCCCCATGCAAAATTTTGAGGGGGTAGTTTTTGCCCCTCATCCTTGTTCCTTGCATGGAATGGGGATCTTCATTTTCTACCAACCTATACTAAGATATGAATTTCATTTTCCACATATAATTAACTAATATTCAATGACAATGAACAAAATTTTAAAAGTTCAATCACAAGTAACTAAAGTTCTCCAAATGTAAAATTAAATATAAATTCTCCAAACATAAATAAAGATCAATCCAACATAAATAACTATACCAACATAGAATATTAGGACTTGTTCCTTGTACAATTGTACAACATCCAGATTCTAGGTTCCCATCTCTGTAAGAGTACAATTAGTTGTAACTAGTAGCTCAGTATGATCAATGGGCAAAAGTAAAATCAAATATAAATTCTCTAAACATAAATAAATATCAATCCAACATAAATAACTAAATCAATGTGAGACTTGTTCCTTATACAACATCTAGATTCCAGCATGCAAGGCAAGGCAACTCAAAACTCAAAAGCTTTTAAAATCCACATTTGCTTATCAAAAATCCTATAATATAATTAGTAAAAACTTGATGTTAACATATTCATAGAAAAACTATTTAGATTATTTCATTAACTGAAGTAAAACATGAATATAACAAGTTGAAATAAAATAATCTAACTAGGCAAAAACTACATTATTCTAGTCATTGACTATCAATTCTAAATTCTAATAATTTATTTGATTTAGTTATTTACATCTCACAAAAAAAAAAAAACATTTTAAAGCATTAGCACAAACTGCATACACAACAACCAAGCCAAATAAAAAACACAAAATTGCAAACTAATTGTTCATCTCATTGATTTATGAAATTAGAAGACAACTCAATAGAATCTCATGAAAAAATATGACCAAAGACAACCAATTAACACTTATCATTCTCTATTAGCCAAAGAGTTTTCAAGTTAAACTCAAACAATCTAGATATATTGTAATACCCCAAAATTTCTAGAGCATTAAAGTGAGCTAGGGACCTAATTGTGAAGAAATATTATTAATGAATTTAATAACAAATATTTTCAAAATTCAAGGACTTAAAAGAAAGGAAATTAGGATAAGGATCAAGGCTGATATTTCTCTCCTCAGCCACGTGTTTTGCTCTTCCTCATCTTCTTCTTCTTCCCGATGCTCTGCCTCCCGAAAGTTTCCCCCCAAAGCCGCTGAAGCTTCCCCCTTGAGAACCGATGAAAGGCTTGAAATTTCCCTTTCCTTCTTGCTCAAAAACCAAGTTTCAGGCCTAGAACACTCTCCTAAACCCAGAAATTTTCCAGATCTGCGCTGTCTTCTTCCCCTCTGTCCGCCGGCCTCTGCTGTGTGGGGTTGGGTTCGGTTTTCTGGTAAGATTCAGCCATGAATTCCTCTCTTTAACTTTGATTTAGGTTGGGTCTACTTAATTTCTTTGTTCTTCAATTTTGGGTAGCACCGTGAGTCTCCCCTGCAGATTTGCCGCTGCCCTCTTTCCCCCGCCAGGTCCGGTTCTGCAGCTGGAAAATTTTGGGTAAGTTGACAGCTCCCCCAAGTCCAAATTATCCATGTAATTGCTGCCTTGTGTTGATTGGATTTTTCTGCTTTTGAATTTCCCTTTTTGCTGTCCGAAAATGGAAGAAATTTAGGTGAAATTGTGCTGGAAGGTGGAATGAATTTGGTAGTCTTTTTGACATGTTTTTAGCTTAATTTATGTAGGATTAGTTGATTTGGGCTGTTGCGATTCTTGGAGAAAAATGCCGTGATTTGCTATTGTTTTGCTAAATAGGATTTAATGAAATAAAATCCTATTCCCCTATTTTGTTCTGTCCGTGTGAGTAGAATAAATTATATATGAATGTGTATATAAATATATATATATACACAATTTGGGTAATGAAAATAAATAAAATAAAAGTAACAAATATTGCATTTTGGGATTGGTCGGGAACAATAGAAAAAGGATTAAGTATGTAGTTTTATATGGGTATTAATTTTGGATGTTTTGAATTAGGTTCCTGATCGTTCTGTCAATTTAGCACTGAGATCGAGCCTTTGGTTTTAAGCGAGTGAGGTAAGTAAATTATGATAAAACCCGTAAATTTTTTAAGCATATTTTAATTGTTTTCTGAGATGGTGGTGAGGTTTAAATGGATTTATTTGCATTTGAGCATGATTAAAAAGGGAATTTGAACTTTTATTATTTTCCTTCTTTTCTAGAATTGAGCATGCCCACATGAGATCCTTTTGATTTATTCTTGAAAGTGAGAACGATCGTGAATTTCGGTTTTGTTTGTAAAGTTTGCTTGGTTTTGTCTCTAATATGGTCGTGATAATCGTGTGCCCGCTAGTGGGAGGTTTATAAACGTTAGCACATGTCGACATGTTAGTGATAGAACCGGTTTGCTTGTGGCCCTACTAGTGGGGATTATACACTAGTAATTTCTGTAGCTTGCCAGTGGGAGGTTTATAACACTGGCCATGACTAATAGAGGAGACCACTACGTGATTTTATTTTGCATTAATGATTTGTTATTGAAACGCTCCATTCTTGAAATGCTCTGTTCATGTTTTAAACCGATTATTTGGCATGCTTTAAACTTTGATGTCGAGCCCCCATGTTTACTTACTGAGATATTTCTATCTCACGGTTTTCTTGTCCACCATTTCAGGTAGTGAGACCCGACGCGGGGAAGCCCGGGGGAGTGACGAGCTAGACGGCTAGGCACTTTTGGACTTAGTTTTTGTAGCTAAGCCGTTAGTCACCCATGCTTGACTTAGAAATTTTTGTGTACAGAACTCCCTTAGTTATGGTCACGACTGTGTAAATAAAGTTAAATATCTTTGTACATTTTGACAAGTAAATAGTTGGAAAGGAAAAGAAATTAGATATTACCTGAGTTTCTAATCTGAGTTAGTGATATGAACTTAGTAAGTTCCGAGCCTTGTGCATTTGTGGGATTCCCTCATAAGTGCACGGTGTCTGTCACGTCCCCGAACTTGGGTTCTGGGGCGTGACATATATAAAGAGGAGCCAATTTTGATATTCAAATATAGCAAGGAAATATAATATCAAGGTGCCAATTACAAAGTAATTCTAAAATCATCAACAATTAGAGAGACCTAAATGCTTTAAATCTTAATTTATACATACTTCAACAGATTGGGAGAAATGGAGTGAAATCATATGATTCTCTTACTCAATAACGAACTTGGGGATAGAAAGCATAAAAAAGGGGTCATGTATATTTTACCCTTAAATTTTCGTCTTCATCAAAATCTAGATTGGCAACAACCCCAGTAGATCGGCAACTACAACCATAGTAGATCAACAACAATAGCCCCAGTAGATCAACAGATGGCTTCAATGGTAGCAATCCAAAAGTAATCAAAAACCAAGGCAAATTCGACAACAACAATATAGCATAGTAGTAGTCCAGTAATAGTATGTAGTCTCATAGTAGTTCCAATAGGTCATTAAGCCAACAACAACTTGCAAGTGGTGGCGAAGGGACTTAGGGATACCAGATAGAAAGGCAAAGGTGAAAAGTTGAGAGTCTGAAAGTGAGAAGCTTAAAAGTGAGAAAGGATAAGTGTTATGTTGTCAATAGTAGGCATTAGCTTTGGCTGTGAATTAAGTGTGATGAGTAAGCTTAGGGTTAGATAGATTTAGCTATGGGTTAGGTTGGGTGGTGTAAAATTGGGCTAAATTTAATTTTTATTGAGTTGGATTTGAAATGTATTATAATGTATTGGATCTGGGTTAGGTCAAATTTAAAATAAAATTAATTTATATATATTTTTTAATTTTTTAAGGGGATGGGATCCTCATGAGGGCTCGTAAGGTAGGGAAAATTCCCTATATAAATTCACAGGGGGAAAATGCCCCCCATCCTGCCTCACAAGGAGAAATATTCCTCCCCATCCCACGTCATAGTAGGAATCCCCATGAGGATTAGGGAAATTTGCCACCCCTACAAAAGTAAAATATTTAAAAGTACAAATTATTCCTTGAAAAATTATGCTTGCATGTCATTAAAACTATATATATATATATTAAAGACAACTAGTAAATGGAGACCAACTTAACTAAAAGTACCTTAAGGAAAAATATTAAAGTCTCAAAGTAATGGAATAACCAAAACTAAACTCTATTTTTTTTTTTTTTATTTATAGATTACGTACATAGAAAAGTGATTTATAAAAGTAGGCATGAGTGAGTACTTTTCAAAAGCTTTCCAAAATAATATAAGTAGAATTATTATTTTGGTAATACATCAATTTGCCTTAACATTGAGCATAGTAAGATCCTACCTTCTATGTATAATGAGCATGACAGACCTATACCAAAAGCTTTCAAGCCTTGACGATTGCTACTCCAAGCTACTAATTAGAAATGGAGAAAAAATAGCATGAGCTAAAACCTACTAATTATTAGCCAAAGCTATAAACTTTGGTTCTAAAACCCATCAACATAGACAATCACAAAACATAACATACAATTTAGCGAAGTTACATAATATTATAAGTTTTATTATTTAATGACATCTTAGAGTTAGAAGTTGTTTGGCATAGCAATTTGAAACTAGTGATTAGATGTTTCATTTAATCTGATAGTTAATGATAATAATAATGATTAATTCAAATACACTTATTTATTAGATTTAATGAAACCACTAATTGTTAATTTTAAACTGCTATACCAAACATACCTTTAATATATTACAAGAGAACTTATAAATAATTAAATACAGCAAAATAAAACTAATAAATAAATTAATGACAATTATTTCAAACTCATATTGTCCTATCTTTTTAAACCCAACAATAAATTGTTGTGCTCATTGAAACCACATCTCTACACACATTGGCTAAGTTAGCATCCACATGGCATTTCACTTGTTAAAATAAATAGTCCCAAAACAATACAACAAGTTAAGAATGTCAATTATTATTATGATTAATTTACCCTTTTTTTTCTATTCTACACTTAATTATTACCGAGTGGAATGGTGAACTATTAAAAGTGAACTTTAACTACATCATTAAAATGAGAAAGAAAACATTAATGTATCTTGAAAAGAGAATTAATTAAGAAAAAATTGTTAATAAAAAGTTTGAGACAAATTTTTTTTTCAAAATAGAATATTTATAGTGGGAATAAGGGAATACCTAGCTTCATTTGTACTCACAAAAGTTGATGAGGGCAAAAAAATCAAAAGTCAAAGTCTTGGTTATCATCTTCAAGATTGTGATGGGAAAGGCAAATGGCGAAAATCCATGGGCAGCCTTCCACCCAATTGATTATGAAAGTATCAGTACCTAAATTTACAACATGAAACTTTTAGCCCCTCATCTTTTCAGCCTAAATGAAAAATCCTAAAATGAATGGCGAATGGTCATGTGTGTCTTGTACTCATTAAACCTTTGTGACCCATTGCCACGTAATTGCCAATAGGGCAATTCATTTCCATCTTGAATTGCAACCATAGACAATAAAAGTGGGATAACTCCCCCTCACTCTTAATCTCACCATATAAAAGCTAGAATCAATGCCCTAAAATATTGAACTAAAAATGAAATTAACATGAATGAATCGCCTAAAATATAGAGCATCCCAATATAACTTGTCTTATGCAATTACTTTTTTATTAACAAATTTAAATTAATAAATACATAATTTATTTTTAATTAACACTAATCCTTTCTTATCATTTGTTTATTTGTTAATATTCACTAATTGAGATGACTGAAACATAAAATAAATAAAAAAATGTCAATTAAGTATTATAATTAAGAATAATACTTATGAAACTTGTGGTCCAATAACTCATCCTTGTTGTTGTGATCCCTTCAACCTTTCCAAAGATTTTTTGATAAATTCAACTCAGATTCTCTTGGTTGATGAGGAGAGTAAAGTGATATTGTTGTCTAAAGTTATATAGAACACATGAAGACTTCCCTTGTGTAAGTCACTTCCTAAGACTTAATTTGACAATGCGAGCCTATAGTTGCAATTATAGGTTTTTAGTTATTTAACATCCCAAAAATATAAAAAATATATTTTATATATTTAATATTTTTTGGGGTGTAGGTGACGTGGACTAATGAGTTAACAGTGAAAATGATGTGAAAGTTGATTAGGATGCCACCTACCAAAAATGAGAAGGGTCTTTTGGGTGGCACCTGTTTCACGTGCAAGAGGCTATGTGCCATAGGCTATCTCGTTCTATCCAACAATAATGGTCAACAACAAATTCTCTAGCAAAATCTAAAAGTGTAAATTTTCCAACAAAGCCAACAGAAAGAGAGCTGGGCAGCAACCACAGAATTCCAAGAGCTGGGATGATTACACCACCGCCAAAATGATGAAAAAGAGATATAAATTGTGGTAGGAGTAGCAAGGATAGAAAACATTTAAGGATTAAAGATTATAATTTGAGAAGCGCATTCATACATAATATATTGTAATATAATAATAATGACAATGAATGCGCCCTCTATTATCCCTAGCAAATACTCATACTCTATAATGAGTAACCTTCATGCTAGAGACAAGATGCACAATGACTTTTTTCAAGTTTTCTCAAGAATAAAAGGAATAAACTTGAGAGTAGTGATGGGAGAAGGAAGGATGACCATTGTGGGGGCTTGTGAATAAGAGGCTTGATCCCATTTTTGATGCTAACTCTTTAGCTTGATCCTCTGTTGCTTAAGAAAATAACCTAGAAACTAAAATTGCAGTATGCTGTCTTCCTACCATGATGTTCTGTAAGTTTGAAGAATTTTTAGCAAAGCTGGAAGTACAAAAAATATAATAAAAATGGTGATTTCTGGGTATTTTTTGTGTGTATGAGGAGGTTGAGGGTGAAGGATTCTTTAGAGGAAAAGTAGAGGTTTGATGCGTGAGAGGGAAGTTGGAGTTTTGAAATTTGTTTTGATATATTGAAAAATGAAGGGAAAATAATATATATATATATATATATGCAATGACACTTTTGTAATTTTTGGGTTGATGGGTCAGAGTAGCCTAGTAGCCCAATGGGTAGATTTGGGTAAGTTGTCAAGTTTTGAGTGGTTTTAGGCATTGTTGATAGCTTTTTAGCAGTGATATTATGAATTATTCAGTGGTTCCAACGAAGCATTGCTAGTTTCAATGAAGGATTAGAGATTGCTCATTTTTGGTCATTTTTCCAGCCATACAAAATTCTATTTTTAGGAAGGTACTTGAGTACAGCCGGCAAAAATAGGATCTATCTAGGATTTTGGTAGATTTCCCAAGATCTACCCATGATTTTGGTAGACTTCCCATACAAAATATAATCTTTTTTAACAACTTGCAATGCAGTGGAACTTGTGCAGCTACCTTTGCATTAAATATAGCGACAAGTTGCTGATGATGACTAAAACAACATTTCTGGTTAGTTTTTAACAGGATTTCAAGCTTTTAGTTAGCATCAAATAGTATAGTTTTGGAGATCAAGTATATTTCCATGTCTTCGCCACCCAACCCTTTTTGGCGAAGTCGGGCCACATTGCCAGCTCTAAGCTTGGTTGGCACAAATGCCTTGCTTCGCCAGACAAGCAATGTTCATCCATCCATGCCTGCCAAGCCACTACTCTCATAGTTTATCTTGAATAATTCCTATAAGCTTGGATTCATGGGCTTGTGTTTATCTGCAACAAGAGTAAGATATAAATGAGTATTTGTTCAAATATTTAAGTGTAAAATGTATGAAGACATGTAGAAAAGAAGGATACTCCTTTGTGTATTGAAAGGGATGATTAGAATAAACATTACCCTGCCCTTTTGTTCACTAGCCATGGCGGGTGCTTGTATAATGTTGCTATTCATGGCTGGTGTTGCACCAAAATAAAGAATGAGTAGTATAGATGTGTGTTGCGATATTGTTATCTCGAGCCAAGCATTGCTTGTTGGCAATACCTGTTAACATGTAAAAGTGTAGAAGAGATATGTTGTGATCGAGATTACCAGCAATTGGTAATTTTGTCCCTTTGTATAGAAGAATAATGATGTGCATGACCATTGGTCAAGTTGTATAAGTATTGTAGGGTTAGTCATGAATAGCTTTTCTATAGTTAGAAGGGCAATAATGGCTAGCTTTATCCATGGCTAGAGCATGAACTATGTGGAATTGAAAAAGCATTCCCATTAATCTGCTAAGTCGCAAAGGGGTAAATCTTATCAAATCAAACTCCACCATAGAGATAAATCTGTGATAAAGATACGTGGAGTTGTCTCCATGGAAGAAGGACACCAGCCACATTTATGGCCTTCAATATGACAAGGTGTGATACCACTAACAAATGCTAGCCCTTCTTATTGTACCCGCACCATCAAAGGGTGGTCTTGGTTGTTGTTGCTGGTCAAGCACCACATCACCATGCATAGGTGACCACCAAGAGACCATTGATTGCTACTTGATAGATTTTTATCACTAGATGTAACCATCTCATTCAATTGTAAGGTTGCAACTATTATCGATCATACGCTAATCATACTGAGTTGTACTGACTTGATGGGAATCAAGATGACCGCACATGTACCATGTAAAGAGATCCATTACACATTCCAGGAGGTCCAGTACGAGAGCTAGAGCTAGGAAGATACGAGAAGCTTTAAATGGCCTTATTGAGCAGATTTGGGTTGATAACAACATGCAACAAGTAAATCGAAGCTTAGATGATTATCAAGGCATGGTTAAACATCATTCAGATTCAAGAGAAGCTCAATTGAGGTCATTTATGCTGAATTACATAGTTTGCGTCAAAATTTGCAATTCTATCGCAATTTGTAACAAACTGATATTTCATGTTACTTTATGCTATTTTAAGTGATTTTCATGTTTTTGGGCTAAACATTCATTTATTTGAAGTCCAATTTGTGGTTATTAGGTTTAGGACTTAACGTGTTAGTGTCTTATTCTAATTAGAATTACTTTTTCCTATTTAAAGGGCTTGTAACCCTAATTGGAAGGAGCTATTGAATTTGAGTATTTTGAGAGACTTTTCTCTTTGGTTCATTTCAAAACTTTATCGAACTTATCAAGATTATTCTTGTGACATTCTAACCTAACTTATCATTCTCATTCTTAACTGCTCGAGGGTGTAGCGTCAACCAACTTTATACCTCTGGTTCTTGTTGCATCATAGACAATGGGTCAAGGTTTTTACTTTTGGTTCTTGTTGTGACATAAACAACGGATCAAGGTCCTATATAAACCTGATTTGGCTTTTCTAGAGTTTCAAAATCCCTTGTTGTGCTGTGGGTCTCATTGTTCTCTTTGGGGTTCTCATCATCTTGGTATCAGAGCAGGTTTATGCGGATCAGCTAAGAGTAAAAAAAGAGAGTGAGCGAAGAAATGAGAATGAGCTTGAGGGTATGAAAAACAAAGAGAAAACAACGCAAAAAGAGTCCAAAAAGAAAGAAAAGATTAAGTGTTGAAAACGAAAAAAGAAAATCAATGGGTGTTTATGGAAAAGAAAGTGATGTCAAGGTTGTGGTCTTTGCAAAACAGCCTATGTTTGTGCTTCTATATAAAGGTGCTTATTTCAACACTAACGAACTTAATGACTCTTTACCCAGTGTTGTTAAATCTCTTTTGCAAGACTTCAAGGATGTGTTTCCCGAGGACATTCCTAATGGTTTACCACCAATAAGAGGAATGGAGCATTTTATTGACTTTACTCTAGGTGCAACAATTCCAAACCGACTAGCATATCGAAGTAACCCCAATGAGATGAAAGAACTTCAAAAGCAGGTTGAAGAACTCATGAAGAAAGGGCATGTGAGAGAAAGCATGAGTCCATGTGTAGTTCCAGTGCTACTTGTGCCTAAGAAGGATGAGACTTGGCATATGTGCGTTGATTATCATGCTGTCAACAAAATCACTATAAGTATCGTCACCCTATTCCTAGATAGATGACATGTTAGATGAACTGCATAGTTCTTACATATTCATTAAAATTGATTTAAAGAGTGGGTATCATCAAATTAGGATGAAGGAAGGTGATGAATGGAAAATAGCCTTTAAAACAAAACATGGTTTATATGAGTGGTTAGTTATGCCATTTGGATTAACTGATGCACCTAGTACATTCATGCAATTAATGAATCATATTTTGCGTGCTTTCATTGGCAAATTTTGTGGTTGTTTATTTTAGGTTAAAACCCCTTTTTGGTCCCTGAACTATTGTACGGACCCCCGATTTGGTCCCTGAACTAAAAAAATCCCTGATTTGGTCCCTACTGTTTACCATTTCTACCCCGATTTGGTCCTTCCGTTAAAAACCCAGTGACGTGTACTGTTAACTAACGGGAACACGATGACATGGCCAAATATCGTGACACGTCATATGTACACATGGAAAAAAGATGACACGTCATAAAACACGTCAGATTCCCGCCAAGCAAAAAAAATAAAAAACGTGGGGCCCACCTCCTGCCCAAATTCAGTATTTCCTCCCCTTCTTCCCATTCGAACCCTAGAAGTGCAGAGGGCACACCGTACCTGCAGAAAAGCCAAAAGTCCCATTCTCCTTCCTGCTTTTTGCTCGCGAATCTTTGATCTTTCACTTTCGAATCTTCTCGTTTAGTGCTGAAAGAGGTGGAAATCGAAGAACAATGGAGTCTTCGAACATCGTAGATGTCGATGCCGACCCAGATCTCAGTGGGGACGAGGTTTGAACCTTTTTTCAGTTTATTTTCTTTCGAGATGTGTG